GGAAGGTTCCTCAGTAACGAATATGTAATGCCGTCTGGGCCGGGAGCACTTCGGGTCTTGCATTTGCTGAGTGCTGAGATCAACTCCCCCATGGTAAAAGGAGAACTAGCTGGATCCGCAGGATCGTAATCTAGAATCTCGTAGCACTCGGCGGGTGTTGGGTTCGCTGGGGGTGGGAAGAAGAGCTCACCGGCGTCGGCTGCCACCTTGTCTTCGGACACCTGTAGCGCCAGCGCGATGTTCTGCGCCGCCGTCCGTGTCTTCTTTCTGCCCTGCATGGCTTGCAAAGTTCGCCATACCTTGTCCAGGCCAGTCTTGCCGTCGAAGGAGCTTGTATAGTCCTGCCACTTCTGTCTTGCTAGGGTATTCGTGTAAAGTTTTGCTTTTGCCGATGCCCGATTAAGCTTGGCTCGCAGCGTAGGGGTCTTTCCTCCTTTCTTGTACTTCTCCAAGGCATCGACTCTGGAGGCCCATAAGTTAAGAAGGTTGGAATCCGGGTTCGGGTCCCTTCCTTGACCTTAATGTCCTGGGTTGCACCCCTAAGAGCTGCTTGAAACTTCTCAATGAGCTTTCCTGGAGGGCCCTCCTGAAGTCATCCCATTTTACTCTTTTGTACACACGCTTGCGTACTCCCACGAATTGCGTGAACGTGAGAGTTATCGGGAGGTGGTCGCTGCCCATACTGTCGTTACCAAGCTGCCATTGAAGGTCCACATTTCGGGTAGTCCAGGTCAAATCCGGTGTAGTTTCTTTGCCGCGCATGCATACCAATGCGCGTGGGCTTGTTGACATCGTTCGCGAGACGAAAGCCGTTCAATTTCATCGCAGCAGCTATCTCATCACCTTTCGGAGTGTCTCGATCGTAACCCCACATTCTGTGTGGAGCGTTAAAATCTCCTCCGATTATGATAGGAATTGATCCCGCCGCAAGTTTGAGGTATGGTACCCATGCTGCTACATTGCCTCGCACCTGGTAGCCTGACGCTCATACACGGATGCTACCACCAGTCTTCGTGTACCGATCGTTATCAGTACCGCAACTATTTAATGATAATTGTTACACCAGTGAGACATGTCTACCTCCGCCTGTGGTAAGTTAGAGTCCACGAGTACTGCCGCCTGACCTGTGGCCACCGAAGTGCCCGCTAAACGATTAACTTTCCCTCGCACAGCATGCTTAATGGTAGGTGTCATATATGCTTTATACCCCGTGATAGTCCTGTCCATCCCCCCCACTTCCTGCAGTAGCAGCGCCGCGGGTTTTTCGATAGTTAGGAATCTTTTGTTTAACTCACTCACTTTGCCAGCGAGTCCATGGCAGTTCCACTGTACAACAGAAGGGGGCAGTGGAGCGGGACCCCGGATCCCCATCTTGGGCTTAGCGGTGCCCATGTTGATTAGTATTGCTTGGTGGATTAATGTTGGTTGTTTTTAGGCTAGTCGTCTGCCTTTGCAGTAAGGCATGGACAACCTCCTGTACAATAGGGTTGATCATGTTCGGGAGTTCTTTCCGAAGAATTTCTTTGATCTCCTGTCGTATGATGTCCCTGATGTCGTCCAGGGTGAAGTTAGGTCTGATATCTGCCTGGCCATGATTGCGAGGTGAATGCTACGGCTTTGTTTTGGTTCTTCGTGATCTGTTTGGCTGGGCTCTGGTGTCACTCCTGTTGTTAATCAGTGTGTGTGGTTCGGCCCGGTTGTCGCCCTGGTGCCGGCTTATCTTGATGCTGAGGCGGCGTCTGCTTTTTTGGTGCCTTAAGGGCCTTCCTCATCTCGTCGGCCAGTTGGTCTACCCGATGATCCCCCTGGCCTTTGCTTGGTTTTGATTCACTTCCTACGTGCTGTGGCAGCGCTGGGAACTGTTCGTCCGTTAGAGGTGGTGGCGGAGGGCCCAAGTTTGTCGCCTTCCTCTTGGTTGTTGCTTTGGGCCGACTTTGTACCGCAGTATTCTCCTTCGGTGTCGGGGTAGTCTACGATTGTCTCGTCTGCCCTGCTGGTGCCTTGGTATTCGTGGACTTGCGCTTTGGCTTAGCCTTGATTCGAAGTTGCTTGTTTGCATCTCTCCGTTTTTGACAGGAGGAATCGGTGGCCAAGTGAGCTCTCCCGCAGTTTCGGCATTGTGAGGTAGTCTCTTCACAACCACCATCGGTAAGTATATGTTCGCGTCCGCAATCCGGGCATCGCTGCTCTTGTGCGTTGGGGCAGATGTCAAATTTGTGGCCGATTCTATGACAGTGGGTACAAACAACCACTTTGAACCGGTACGGGAAGACCCGCCTTTCAATGTTGTGGTACCAGACGCGCCGTGGAATTTTATTGCCCTCAAAGGTAACCAGGGCCGTCTTACTGTTCTTACCCATGGGCCTCGACGCTAGGATCCAGTGTGTGGTGCTGGCAAGGTTCGGGAGCAATTGTTCCGGGTCCTCGTTCGGGTCAATGCCCTATATAACACCCCGGACTTGATCTCCGCCCACGGCGTGGAACGCCTGGATCGGAATGTCCTTGGTCGGCGTGTTAATGGACGTTAGGTTGAGGAAATGGTCCACTAGGTGTGGTTGCCAAATATCCACGGCCACGGTGTTAGAAAAGTTTTGTACCCTGATTTGATATCCTCTCTCGTATGTGAAGTCGCCAGTTGTCTTGGCAATCCCGGATTTCAGTTCTCTCGGTCAGATATCCGAGACTTTAATGCGCTCCCGGGGTCTTAGGATCACAGTCGTTATTTTAATATTTGCTTTTCCTGCCTGTTTAGCGAGTGGTGCTGGCGCGATGGCCTTCCTCCGTGCTCCTCGAGAAACAACGGCCGACCATGTGCCTTGATCATTGTCGCGATCGCTCGACGGGTCACGCGCGCTCCATTCCGCCTGCAGGTGACTCATCCTTGCCACCTCTGGCGGGGTGGGAGCCGCCTTGTGAGGCCCCAGCGTTCCAGCGTGGCCAACGGTTTCAGTTTCCGAAGGTCCCCCAAATTTCTCCCGTTTGGAAGGGAGAGTGGGTCCAAACAAATGTTCACTTGCGTTAATAAGGTCCGAGGTAGATTGAAGCCCCTCGTCGTCCATCTTTTCGTCCTCGGGCTGTGGAGTCGCCGTTGTGGCGGCGGTTAGGTCTAGATGGCGCCGAACGGTGTCGGCAGATTTCGGGTCAGGCTTGCTCTTCTCAGTGGCCCGGCTGGTTCCTTTGGTGCCCCGGGAACTTGTGGTAGGCGCTGTCGGCACCTGAGGAGCACTGCCGAAAGTGAAGAGCTGGCTAGTAGCCGACTTGTCCGTCGCCGTCGCCGCCACCGTCGGTATGCCTTGCATTGTCGACGGCGAGGCATCGCTCGCCTGGGTCAGATTTTCGGCCATGGTTCCTCGAAGGGTTGTCCACTTGCCAAAATTCCTGTCGTGTCCGGTTTCGCTTTGGTTACCGGACTCTGTGGATCAGCTTTGGGGGGATCACCCCCTAGAAAATCGTGAAAATTCAAACAAGACTTGAGAGTGGGATGCGAGCACGTCTACACTCTACCAACTTCATCGTCTTCTTCTCTGAAGTGAAGAGCACGGAGCTTTGAGCGACACTCAAAGCTGCGTGACTGCGCGGGCGACTGTAGCCTTTTCGTCATAGCCAGGGAAAGTTGTGCTACATTTGTGCCAAGCGTGCACGGCGCTCGTCGTATACCTCGACACCGGACGCGGGCGAGATCGATTTTGCCGGGTAACTGCATGATTTTCTTGCCGTCTAGAGAATGGGTCTGAATAAACCCATCTAAGACAATCAAAGCCTGTGCATTAAAATTTTGATGTTACCACAGTGAGATCGAACGTAAACACAAATGGGACATGAGTGCAGCGTCAACGCTCGGCTGGAAGTCGTGTCCATGCAGCCAACGCGTCGAAAGACTCTTTGTCGGGCTCGGACCAAATTAGTGAGTGGGCGCCGTTCGTGTGTGATGACGCACGAACGCCTAGAGTATCGGCACTCTGTTCCCCGGTATATTGTTATGGGCGCCGCCATCTTGGTGATTGCGCAGAGCAGACACAACTGCCGGTTGTCATGATTCAAAAATGCGACTTCTTCAACATTACATTCGGTGTTAGATAACTCACTTAATATTGATTTGCTCTGTCGCGAACTGTTGAAACATTTGTGGAGAACGGAAAAATGTGTCCTGTGATTATAGATAAAACTTCAGATAACTGGCAACCATGATTTTATGTCACAATATTTGTAAGTGTCGCTACTCTGAAGCGTAGCTTATTTAGTGGCACTAGATGAGACGATGCATGTACGACGTAGTGACGCCGCGCGCTTCCCTTTCACTTTCAAAACCGACGCAGCGCGCAACGGCAGCGAGCTATCCCAGCAGGGCGGCCCAGTGCTCCAATCCGGCTTGCTTTCTATGGCTGCATTTACATGGCTGCGACCGTAGCGCACCGAATAGATATTTTACTATTTTTATTGGTAGCAGATGGGCAAAAGAAGAAGTAGAGAGACAGGGGGCCGTCATCTGCTGCATCAAAATTAAGGACCTTTTTATGGGGAGGGCGACCAAGCCTGCAAGGGCTTGGTTGCTCACGGCTAAACTTTGCCAGAATATAGCGCGGAGCATATTTTGCTACGGTTACGGCATATTTTGACGACGAGCAACACATCTATAATTTGAATATGCTAACACAAATTACATTTGCAACAGCCAGTGAGTGGATCGTAGGTAACTAATTTACAAATTTTCACTTTGCACTTTTACCCTGACGTTCACCGCATGAGGGTAAAATTTCGTCATTGACTTTATTCTGATGGAATCGCTTTTTGTCTTCTTCAGTGTCATATTAAAAACGGTTTTTCTTATTAGAAATATACAACATCAACAAAACATACTGGCCAGAAAAATGAATAAGCAAATAAAGATAAATAAATTAAAAAAAGTATTGTGACATATATACTTTTCCTCAATTTTATTCAAATGCCGAATATGCGGATTTCCTGTGGTGAGGAGGTGTTATAGTACACCTCCTGCATATTCAGAGTTTGCAGGCGTGCACAAAAAATGTCTCGCCTTCGGGTGTCGGGCATCCCGCTTCTTTTTGGGCCACAGCTTCCTTTACGTATTCGGTGACATCCTGCAGGAGAACGGGTCTCTCTTCTTCCGTGACAAGGGTTGAAAGGTGGCAGTAGCCCATCTCCTTTTCTGAAACAAAACACACGAATAAATAAGAAGGGTGGTTAGAAGGCAGTTGCTTTCGAGGCGTTGCAAAAGAAGTACTGTTGTTTCTTGTGTAATGCTTTAAATTAAGTTTAGAAGAAAACTTTACTCGAAAACAAAGCGCCGAATTGGCGACATGTTGTGGCTAGGGTCCCTGTTGTGGCTAGATGAATGATATTTCGAATATCCATTAACTTGCAAACTTACATGCCAAAAATAAGTATCAGTGTAGGTTAGCATTTAGCTCCACCAAATTCGTGGAACCCAACAAGTTCACTTGTCGGGCTGCGGATTGCACGGTCGGGGGTCCGGTTCATATTGTGCCGCCTGGTTAATCATTGTTACTGGTCATCTTTCCTAGTTATAATGACGCTTGATTGAGTGTGACGGCCTAATTGTTATCAAAGGCAGGAGGCTAGCGCTGGAGCTGGGAAAAGTGAGGCACCTCCATGTCGTTCTCATCTTGTCAATGACCATATCGTGATGACGCCAGAGGAGGACAGGTGGAGGCGTGGCGTTCTGCTCCATTTCACGAGTTGTCTTCGGTGGTAAAGACATGGGCGAAAGCTAGTGATTTTCGACCGGACTTTCGAAGTTTCTATGCGCGAGTACGTACGCAAACCAACGCCAGAGCCACACGCTCGCTCCCGTGCAACTGATATCTGAAGCCTCCTTGTGAGATGGAATACAGAGTGTCTCCGAAAACAGATTACAGCGCTTCGTTCACCGCAGAAATATGCTACGCATTGTCGAACCCCTCGTTTCCGCCCAAATGTAGTGCTAGCGGGAAATGGGGCCCGTTTCCTGTAGCTCGCGTAATTCAGCCCCATGTACTTCTGGCCTTCGTCGACCACCATTTTCCCATTTAAACGTTTTTTAATCGCTTATACCGATCGAAGAAGATAACGGTTTTTTCTGAAACTTCTTCATCTGGTCCTGACCACTAGCGCTACATTTGCGCGCAGACTGAGCGTACGGCGATACGTAATTTATTTTTGCGTATACAAAAAAAAACAGAAACCAACATTTTTTTTTTTTTTTTTTTTTGTATAGGGTAAATTTTTAATTTATTGTGTTGGGCAGATTTCCTTCATTGATCTGATGTGTAAGTTTCATACATTTGGTTTTGATTACCTATCATCTTGTCTAGGGTGTTGTTTTCGGACGGTAATGGCCAGACGTCGCAAATGATTGGCATAAGATCGGCAGTCTTCAGGAGTTCTTGCATGTATGATACGAGAGCTTCTTTGCCCTTCCCCACGAGGTCGACGGTCGGTGGCAAAGACCTCTCGCACTCCTGTGACAAACAAAAGAGATAAACTTTAGGTTGACTAATTCTCCTGGCGGATTTACCTGTTAGATTTGAGGCTCTGTAATCGGAGACAAATTTCTGAGGCGACGGAGTCCAAGCAATCTGCGCCCGTGTGGCTCCATGGGAGCCGGCCTAGCCATGCCTGTTACAGACTAAGCGTGTGCATATAATGATAGAAAACTAATGCGCTATTGATATGGTCGCTCACGCTGCGCAGCACTGTCTTCCTTTTGTTTTAATGTATCGGCTCGAGTTAGTGTTTGTTTTTACACGGTACCTACATCGCTCCTAAATCCTTATCGTAGAGCAATACTTAGTAATATAAAAAATGTATTAATTCATCCACCGATAAACGATGAAACAAGAAACATTGAGCGAAACGCACCGTATAATTATGCAAACTGCGATCCACACGAATCGGTCAAACAATATATAGCTCTAATGCAGAACTTAAGCGCGATGTTAAAAAAAAAAAAAGAAGACGCGACCAGATGTCCTCTTCGACAAGCTGCCCGTGGACAAGTTGCCCCGTTACGAGTTGGCCTGTTCGACGAGTTGGCCTTCGACGAGTTGTCTTTCGACGAGTTGCCTTTCAACGAGTTGGCCTTTTGACAAACTGCCTTTCGACGAGTTGGCCTGGACCCGTGATTGACAGCTTAAGAAACGTAAAGGCGTGTCCAGTCCGGACCTTATTATGGCAGCCAATGAAATTGCGCAATTAGTAGATAAGTAGGCCAATTAATAATCAGGAAGCAAGAAGATACATAATGAGCCACGTCTCGCGTTTCTTAGACCTTCAGTAACTGTACAGACAACCAAGTTGCACCATCATGCACTCCTCGTTAAGTGAGCAATTGAATACGACCCGCTCAAAGTTGGCCCAATTGTGAACGTACTTGATTTACTATAGAGCGTGCAGGTTACGGCACCGTATGTAGTGGTTAGGGCAATAGAGTGTTTTAGGAACCATCTTTCCACATCCGATACGGTACGACGGGCCCTCGGGTACGAACTGCGCATGTGCAGTTCGTACCCGAAGGCCCGTCGCGAGCGAGCAGAAGACTCGCTGATGCGCAGTTCGCACCGGAGGGCCCGTCGTGCGGATGTGCAGAAACGGTTCCCCCTAAAGCTCTCCCATAACAATCTCACCTCGGCGTATTTCTTCCAACGATCCATCCTCGCCAGCTTTCTTCGCAGTCGCGTGGTGTGGCTGTAAGCGTTGAAGAGAAGCAAGCAGTCTGCGCCGGGTTTCGTCAACGCGGCGACGTTCTTCAGGGCCGTTTTCTGGTCCCTCGTCCAGTGCAAGCAGAAGAAAGAGAACACGCGGTCGAACTGGCCGTGTTTCTGAACGAAGTCGGTCACGTCGCTCGCCGAAATGTCCAGCAGGTCGTAGCAGATCTTGGGGTGGGGGAAATGCTTCCGCGCGAACTCTATCATCTCCAACGAGACGTCCGCGGCGACTATCCGTCGGCATGGACTGTAGCGGGGAAGAAGATGGTCACGCGTGAAGTCTCCGGTTCCGCAGCCCAAGTCCAGAAACTGTCGCTCGTGGTGCGCTTCGCCTGGACTTGTCCTTTGGAGCAGCTCCAAGGCGCGGATGTTTTGCCCTAGCTGCATGCCGTGAGCGGAGATGTAGAATTCCGGCTGGAGCTTGGTGGCTGTGGGCTCGGGACTTGGAGCCATGATTCCGGATGAAGAAACAACTATTGGTTCTCTGCCACAGGCGTCAAAGAGTAACTTTATTCGTCGATCGTGGGAGCAGCTGTTTAACATCCAACTGCTGTTTTTTTTTTTTTTTTTTTTTTTTTTTTTTTTTTTACTGATTAATGCATCATGGTACTGTACCAGAGCCTGTAGTCGTACCGTAACAAAAATACGACAAGGAGGCTGAATATGACAGCTGCAAGTTTCGGGTCTTTTTGAAACCCAATCTGTTTCCAATAAAAAACAGCGCTTTTGTGATATGTGCACGCAGGTGTTCACAAAATAACATTGGAGGGTAGACAGGTAAGCTACATCGTTTACTTTTCTAGGTTTACGATACACAAAAAAGAGCAGGGTGGTTTTATTTGAAATCAAGCACACGTGTCGGTGAAGGTATTTTGATTTGTCTAAAAAAATATATACCGCAAGGGGGAAAAACACTTTTTACATTTTTGTTACAATTTTTTTTTCACAAAAAGTTTTAAGTGGAAAAGTGCTGTATTTAGGCTGCTTAATATTTGTACAAAGCTCTGGTAATCGTTATAAATAGGTAAAACTAAAAACGCTGACCGTAATTTTTCTTGTAAATGTATGACTTATGGCCAACATTTCCTTTAAACTAAACCGTATTGGCATATTAAATGCTAGAATTAAAAAAATGCCAAACATCCAATATTCCCATCTTTGACGTTTTTGTGAGATTCGTGGAGTCGTGTATCTTAAGCTTCAACATTTTGCTTATTACATTCTATATTCCTGTGGGCCTATGCATGTGCTATTGACTGGTGCAACTTTTGTTTGATTTAGTTTCACGAAAAAATTCATATATTTCATCAAAAGGTAAATTTAGGCATAATTTGAGCCCGCATTACCAAAATGATGCTATCTTTATTTATATATATTTTTTAATTTATGTTCCTATAGTGTTAACTTTCTTTGCTCATAATAAAAGTTCCTCCTTTATTGTTGCATTTTCTGCAGAAGTGCTTAAACACACATACATGCACCCGAATCGGCAAATCTGTAGTTTCGCAAGTTGGCTGTACAGCAAAATTTTTTTAGCCATAAAATGCTGAGGGCAGAAGCGGGTCAGACCCGTTTGGGAGATGAAAGGACAACGGAGTGAGTGAGTTAAAGCATGCATTTATTTTTATCCAAAATTGGCTGTCTTGGCCAAGTTATCCTGAGGCTTCAAGGACTACAGGGGTTGGGCTAGGTGATATATAGGGTTCCGCGTTTTCGGTGTTTTTTTATTTTTTCAACGGTCGACATAGTTTTTTCGGTGTTTATTTTAAAACCCAATTTTCGTTTTTTTTTTTTTTTTTTTCGATGTATATTTTTTCTCAAAAAAGTTTACCGTTTTTATTCGGTGAATATGAAAGAAACACCATCGGACTCCGGATCAGAGGATCCTTGTAGCTGTGATATTTGTGATCACTCAAACAGTAACGGCATATAAACATGCATGGTCTTCGCTACAGCTTCCGTCAGGACACACCTCAAAATCGCAGAATTCGCGGGCATGGTCTTCAGCGCGCTTCTTTTTCCTTCTGATGATGACAGTACAGAAACCCGCGGAATGACAAAAAAAAATCCATTGTATTTATGTTAGTTTGAGAGAGCCTGTTAAAAAAGGTATTAACGGCTTTCCTCGATGTCCTCTGAAGTGCATGAAGCGAAAAACCTTATACACGAACTCATCTCAGTTACGTCACGGCGCGGTGGTGGCGCGTCGGGCGCACTTCCGGTCGGGCTGTGGGCGGAAGGCCCCTTGTGAGACGTGTATTCCTATGTTGTTTTGAAAGGAACCTGACGAAAATCTGCCTTTTCGTCAAACCGCCGCGACTGAGGCTGTACCAAAAGAGTCGAGAAAAGTTTGAAGATTAGTTTTCATGCGCTCGGTTCGTCCGAGAACGTGGATATGTGCCGTAAAAATGGTAATCCAGACGCAGTCGAACCACGATTGCTTGGGCGGGAAGCACTTTGGGTTAAATTCACGGATACTTGTGGTCATCACATTTATTTGTTTCGTTCCAGCATGAACACCAGAAAACTGTCAAGTTGTACGGACCACCTGTGGACTACGTTCAGTGCGTCTTCAAGTTCAAACGGCTGCCTGATCGTTCGAACTGTCGTCTGCTCTTTCAAGCACTTCTCCTTGTCGTCTGCTCTTTTGGACGACACCGGCCCGTATCACTCTAAAAAAATCCCGTGCGTCCACATTCCCGCAAAACACTCGGAGAGCCAATCACCGTAATTTACAGAGGTAGCTCAGCGAATGACGATGCCGAAACATATGTTTAGACCAAAAAACGCAGTCTGAGTTGTAACATTAAGCAATGTAAAACGTCACGCTTGCATTGCTCAATGTCACAACTCAGACTGCGTTTTCTGTTCTAAACGTATGTTTCGGCATCGTCATTCGCTGAGCTGCCTCCGTAAGTTGCTGTGATTGGTTCTCCGAGTGTTGTGCGGAAAAGTGGATGCACGGGCTTTTTTTAGAGTGTAGAATGTTAGTCCGGTACTTGCGATAAGAAGTAAGTGCAGGCCTCAAAAGACTTAAATTTGAAGGTTGGTAAGCAGGCTTGATGTAAACAGTAGATACAAGGATGTCTTGATCATTGTTACCAGTGGCCATCGCCGACGTGTTATGCCTGATTCACTTGGTCCGACTCTGCTTGCAATTTTTAGTATCGACGTTGACCATCTCAGCTACGGTCCACGCTTTTGCAGCCCGAGTGACGTAGCGACTGAAAATTGCGAGCGAAATCTTATCATGCGAATCAGGCTTTGGCGTACATTTTGTGGCATTCATGCGGAATGAATCGCCGCATGTCACATCATTCACGCGAAGCTTTGCGGCGTAACGAGCCTCAGTAATTTCGCTAAGGTCGCTCAACTAGTCAGGCATTGTTAGGAAGACGTAGAATCAACAATTCGAACGCGAAAAGGTTCAGGGAGACTCACACCGACGCCGACAACATCGCATTTCAATGGTTTGTTTATGGGCGGCGGCGAGCTTCTTGCCCACACTCCATCGCGCATGCGCGGCGCCGGTGGCGTCCGCCAGGGGTGCTCTGGTTTGTTTGTAAACATGAGTTGGCGGATATTAGCCCACATCCGAACTTTCTTTTTTTTTTTTTTAGGACCGGCACTTGACACACTGAGCCCGATCACAGAAAGGACACAGATGTCCCGCGAAGGCCAATCCAAGATCTCTTTTGTTGCATATTGAAACTTGGAAGAAGGCAATCACGAAAACGTCACACAATGTCAACTCAAACCTTGCAAAACCCTCGCCCCCCCCCCCCCCCCCCCCCCCCCCCCCCCTCTTTTCCGCCACCCACTTCGACGCGGCCCCAAAAAACTGACCTTTTTCGGTTAAAATCGAGTTTTAGAAGACCGATTGGACATACTTCAATCGGTTTAAACCGGAAACACCGTACCTACAAACTGACCGTTTTCGGTTAGAACCGAATTTCCGAAAATGAATTCGGCGTACATTTATTGGTTTTTATCGGTTTAAACCGAAAACTCCGCACCCTAGAGATATACAACAAGACTAGATGAGGTGGTGGGTATCGGATCTTCTTATGTAATCCTCCAGCAAACCGATGATGAATTTCATGCGTTCTCATGAGCCCCTGGCTCGGCTCCACTCGTCTAGCGTCCTGGGTCTGTCATCTTTATGAAAATGATGGTGGACGGGTGCGACGTGGCCCCAAATGTCTGCCCGTACCCCTCCGGTGTTCCTAAGTTACTGGCAAAGTATGTTTTTTTATATATATTATTATTATTGTTAATGTTACGACCTTTGAGTCGGGTGCATATTATTGTTTATAGCAGTTTAGTATAGCCGCGCGTAAGGTCATGGTCTTCTAGAAGGTTCTCGTTTATTCTTGCTCCGGACATAACTTGTTTGAATTATTCCTGCTTTTGTTGTTCTAGAAAGTGCGTGTTCATTCTCGCCCCGAGCGCGCGACGCTCGAGCCTTCTTCGCCGAATCTTCGAGATAGTGACTCACTCTCTGCCCGCGACCTAGTCGAGTCAGTTTCGCCTCAGCGTTCGATTCTGCTGTCTCGCCGACTTTGACGCCCGCGACGCTGTGTTGTTATCTTCTTCTTTTTAGGGGCGAAGCTCCTTAGGGTCTAGCCTTGTCCGTCCGTCCGTCCGTCCGTGCTCACATAAAAAAGAAAAAAAATAATGTTTGTGCAGTCGACAGGATTCGAACCTGTGCGGGGATACCCTAATGGATTTCTAGTCCGTCGCCTTAACCAAGCGGCCACGACTGCGGAACGAGTAGGGGCCTCTGAGATGTGGTAGTAACTCAAGAGCTGGGGTTTCTGTAATGGATGAAACGTTGCATGTAGCCGCTCAACGTCTATACAGGAGAGGGCGCTGCGGTCAAATGCGTATATAATCGCGTTAAACTTTGCATGCATTGGCTCAATGTTTATAGACGAGAGGGCGCTGCGGTCAAATGTTCAAATGCGTATATAACAACGTTCCATACCACAAATTCTCTTTCTGACATGGACCGTTGACTTAAGCGGTGGAGATGCGTTCCCACGGCTTCTAGCGGATCCAAGCTGATCCGCTAGAAGAACCACTGGTCGTGCATTTTACCGACCATAAAGCAGTAATAATGAAGTCAAAACGCAACCCGGAACTCAGCACTACCTATGAGCAATAAAAAAATCAACACCATCAGCACTACCTATGAACAAAAAATC